CTAAAAAGTTGTCGAATAAAAATTTAATAATGATTTTATATCAACATTGTGCAATTTTAATGTTTTTTATCTTATACAGCTCCAAAATAACGGACACCCTATATAATAATAATAATAATAATATATCAACTAAACTTTTTAATTTTTCATACATTTATTATTGTTTTAATAAACTATTTTATCATTACATTCCATTAATAAGTTAACACTTGGTATTATATTAAGTGGATATAATCATAAGGATTAATTTTACAGAAAAAGCTGTTTTCTCATTGTTGGAAGCGCCTCGAGGCCTGCGTTGGTCCGTTTAGCACCGATCGCTTACATAAACCGTCCTACAGCTTAATTTACTCTATCGTAAAATTTAATGGACCATTTCTTTGGTATCGTCTTATGACCGGGCAATTTTCTTTATGATTTTATTGCATATTTCCATTTTGATACTTTCTTGATTGCCTCTTATCGTTTTGTCAAGCCTACAAAAACAAAAAAATAGCGCAAAAGTGCTATATGGTGGGTGAAAATAATAAATATTTGATTGAAGCTTTTAACATTTTTGTTTCTTTGTCAAGAAAAATGTGTTTGGTCGTTGAATTACAATTTTAATCAGGGTTGGCATGAATTAATTTAAATAAATTATTGCAGTGATTTAATTTGTGAAATGACTTTTTTTAACTTCATAAATTAATTAAAACTTACTTCTAATTTAATTGCATTAATGATTCGAATATTATAAAATTAAAATACTTATACTACTTATTTGACGAAACATCTTTTTCCAAAAATTTTAATTATGGGAATTTGTTTGACCAATTATTATTGAAAAATTAAAATGTTGTAATATTCGATTAGAAATTTGAATCGAAAATTGTGGAAAATATTCCTTAAAAAAATAATGGATATAGCGCGATCTGATTGGCTTACCAAGAAGTGCTATATCTCTTTGAAAAAATACCAATTTGGTTGAGTTTTAGAAATTTCAAAAATTGGTCAAGGGATTTTTTTTAAGGTATTCGTAGTTGAAATATTTTCCGGTGGATCTAGTGGATAAAATTAAAATTTTGTAATTAAAAAGTAAAATAATTTAGACAAAATTATTGCAAAAACAAGACACATTTCTTTAATTTTTCGCTGTATATTTTATTTAAATAATATTGCATTATCTAACAAGGTTTATATTGTAGCCAAACCTCGGCTACTGAGGCGCTAGCCGAGGCTGCAGATCTGAGCAAAGCAATTAATATGCTTTCCCCGCCTTGTTTTGTAAACTATTTTTAAGTGTTTAATAATTCTGTACATACATTCAAATTCTTGAGTTTACGACATTTTGTCATGTAGATAATGTTGACGTTTGCATGAATTTATTCTACAGTGACCTGTAATTTTACTGTTACCTAAAATGATTTCGAGCGAAATTTAATAGATGGAACCACATATATAGGCTATGTTATATAAAAATTGCTATAGAGCCATTCCACGCGTAACGGATACTACAGTTGCCGTATTGCAAAGTCCCGACCGTTACGCTTTAAATTATTAGTTTTTAAGGAATTAAAGAGTCAACCACGATACCTAATTTTGCCAAATAAAAACCTTGTTAAACAGCTTTAGTTTAGAACTATTTATAAAAATTTGACATTGGTAATATAATAGAACAATATTATTTTGTAAATAAAAACACGGCAACTGTAGTATCCGTTACGCGTGGAATGGCTCTATACGCTTAAAGTTTGTATTTTGTGAATTAGATAAAGTAAATTAATTTTAAAAAATCTGACTTTTTCTACTTTTTTTATAAAATTCATGACTTATTCCAACCCTGATTTTAATAGATAACGTATTCGAGTTGAAAACCTTGAATTTTTATCAATGTTGAAATTTTATTTAACTGCTTAGAATTATTAAAATTTTAGTGTGTTAGCTATAAAACATTTATGCAACCATATTTTAAAAACATGTTTTATATGAGATAAATTAAATTGATTTAATTTAATTAATGAAGTTAAGTCTGTCAATATCAACTCACAATTAGGTATATACAGTAGAGAACAAAGCCTCATTGTTTTATATTATTTTATATTATGTTAATATAACATTTAAAGGTTAAATATATATAGTTAAATGCCTCTTTAAAAACTTCCTCAATTGATATTCCGTTTTTAAAACCTTATAAAGTAATTTTGCAGGTATATTTATTACTTTTATCATTTACACTTTCTACTATCTACAGATAAACTACATTAGTTTTTTGGGGCATTGGAAAAGTTGGTCCCCCAACGCGAACATTTTAAATATTTAACCAGAATCGATATGGTGCGTTCCACTTATTTTGGTAAATAAAGACACCATTTATTTGGAAATTACCGACCCAATTTTACGTAAGGTTGCTGTTTATATATCGATTTTAATGGTTCCCATGAAAATATTGTAATCAGCTAAAATAAATAAAAAAGCATAAAATCATGTGAAGTACCTACCTAGCGGTACCTAGTAGGTAATAAAATATAGTTTATTATCGGTATATACCGGGGCGTTCATTAAAAATAAATCACAAAATAAACATAAGTGAATATTTAATGGAATTAATAATATAACTTTACCCAAAGAAAATATATCAATTTCTTACATCGAAATGACTTCCTGTTCGATGGGATTAACCATAGATTTTATGAATTATCAGCCAAATGGGAAAACGAGCGTAATTGGAAAATACTTAAAAGCAATAAGCTATTCCGCTTGACCTTTGCACCCTTTGCATTCGACTAAACACCGCGTGTGCGATATGAAAGTTTAAAATTCTTTACTTCGAACGTCAATTAAATACTCTTAACGCATTTAAAGTTTTTTTGCTGTTGTGTCGACGGTGATTTGTTAATTTGCGTTAAATTGTTGTTCTAAATAATCAAGCGTTCCAGGTATTGAGTATTTTCCGAAACCAAAGCTAGTAAATAGCCGGAACTATTGTCGTTTAGTTGGAATTGCAATGAAAATGTTTTCCCTGAAGTAATTCAGTTTTCGTTTTATTTTCTTTATTTTTTTGATGCAGTAGGTAGTTAGAAATTCTTTTTTGAAAAAAGTATGTAACACTCTTTTCTGTTGCTCTTTTATTGTTTATTTTAATGATGGCATAGGATGCGTCAATTTTTAAAAAGCAGATGAAAGTCGATAAAGGTATTTGGCCATTATATTTCTGGAGACTTTTAAATGGCAAACCGTGGCTCATACTAAAAACGTACCCTATACCTCTTTTGTGATTCTATTGTGCTGCAAGACGAAAGCGGGCAGCAAGAGGGAAAGAAAAAAGTAGCCAGGTGTTTGGCTAAAGGCACACAGGTTACTCTTGTGGATACACAACGCACACATTTTAAGTTTTCTTTTCGAACCAGAAACGCAATCTGTCTAGCACCTGGCCATCGAAGGAATGATGCAGGCTCAATGCGGCGTTGCCAAATATGGAGTTTGTCTTTGGCACATTGTAAAAGAATATATTTATAATTACACAGATTTTCAATTATTTGTTATTTAATATGATCAAGGGTCTTGATAAAAAGATTTAATTTTAACTTAAAAGGATTCATTTCACTTTATTTTTATGTATAATCTTTATCTTGAATCGCCATATAAATTTGAAAATTTATATATTTTCAAAAATTATGTATCTGAATTTAATTTACTTCTTCTGTTTCATATTGTTGTCTACCATATTTATATTGTCCCTTCAACACAAAAAACCTTAAAAATCATTCTGGGATTCTAGAACTTGAGTCCCAATTTAACTATGGATTAAAAAATAATAATAATTTTGGTTAGTTTCCTTTGACAAACGCAGATAAAATTTTCGATTAGCAAAAGACGTTTTTGGGCACGCGTTGGCGCCATATTGACCCTTTTAATAAACCACGTGTATTAAACTCGTGTCTAAATTTTGTTAAGGGCACGTGATGGGAAACACGAGACAGTTTGGGGGTACTGGAAATGCGGAGGAATCGATTTTGAATGCCAAATAACAATAACTTTATTCCCTATAGGGATAGCTATCAATTTGAATTTTTGATGTCCCCGTATCGTTAATATTTTTATCATGCAACGTTTTAAGAACAGTTAAATAATTTGTATTGAGCATAAATCTAACTTCAGTTTATGCGGATAATTGGAATATTCCTTCAGTTTTTAGTTTCGAAGTATAGCATTCGTAAAAACAATATTTTTAAGTAAAAGTAAAATGAAACTAATTTAAAAATTCCATAATAAATAATAACGTGGTTTGCTTTTTACTAAATGAATATAGCAACATTGTGTAACCTCGTAAAAGAAGAAAGCTGTAATTGCTTGTTAAAAAGTTACAAAAATATAAAACATTTTCATGTAACAAAAAGCACAAGTTAACCTATATACCCAACGACTTTGAAATGGTGTCGCAGCAAAGGTCAGGCTGTTATTGCTTATTAAATTGAAATACATAACAGTAGTAGATTTATTAAAATATTAAACTAACATGTTTCAAGAAAAATGTTTCCTTACTTATAATTCTAGGTATTAATTTTACCTAATTGCTTTACAAAATACGATATGGTTACTATGATATGATATTTACCAAATGTTGATCTGGAGTTATTTTTTTTTCACACATCCTTTCGTCTAAACGGGGTACTTAATAAGTTGCTGAACAGTTTTTTTATTTTCTCAATTACTCTAAGCCTATAAAATAGTAAACAAGTGTTGAAAACCAATTAGTCAAACAATTATCCAACCTTATCTGTATAATGCAAAGTTAATAAGTAGTTAAATGGGTCGACTTCTTGTATTACATAGTTTTTCCTTTAGGTCAACGAAGAATTATTGAACGGTTTTTTACTATTTTATTAACGACGTCCCCCGGGTGATTTATTTTTTACATAAGTAAGGACATAGGCCATGAAAGCAAATTGATTGCTTTAATGTCCCAATTTACTCTTTTTCATTTTATATGTCAAGTTAATATGGTTTCGTTTCGTTTTCAGCTGGGAATTATCTACAGAGACATCAAATTGGAAAATATCCTGGTGGACGAATCCGGACACGTGGTCCTGACAGATTTTGGTCTTAGCAAAGAACTGCCAAGAGCTCAGAGCGATAAAAGGGCCTACTCGTTTTGCGGGACCATTGAATACATGGCACCGGAAGTGGTCAAAGGTGGCACCCAAGGACACGATATTGTAAGTGTACACGGATTATACAATTATTTAACACGTGTGATTTTAACTTATAATTTCTTTCTACTAATTGTATATCATACCTTTAAAATGAAACTTCTAAAGAAGATGGTAGGAATCAAGTTTTAGAGTAATTATTAGAATTGATTATTTCAGTACGTTTTGTTACAAATTTTAAAAAAAATCCCGTTACTTTTTGGTTACTTTTCTTTACTTTATGTTAAAAAATTAGAGATGGTAAAACGTCACGTAACAGACGACAGCTATCAAAAAACATGTGAAAGCGAAATTTTTTAAGTCTTTGAATTTTTCACTCATCTTTTCTACTCGTCAATAACTTAATACCCTTGTCAAGAAGGTTGTCAAATAATAGGCAATCCACCTTACGGCGGCCACCATTTTGGATTATTAGTCACGATTTAATAGTTTCCTGTACAACTTCATGCTCTCCCGATACTTAAAACCGTTTAAAAGCTATTTTTAACATTGCAGTGGTTGCAAAATAAATGACGTATTCATGCGACTTCATGCTCTCCTGATACTTAAGGGCGTTTAAAAGCGTTTTATATTTTTCTTTACATATTTATCCTTCCAATTTCCCCTCTAGAGTAGTTTTACTTCATAAATTACCTTAAAATCAAATGGGCTGGTTTTACTGCCCTTGGTCGTTAAAGTTGACTTTATACAGTCGAGTAGCTTCTAAAACTAGAAAAATCACTCACATGGGTTACAAAATATTGCATTTTTAAGATGTGAAACTAAAATTTATTGCGAAATGAACGATTATGTAAAATACCTTACTATTTAAAAGAAAGTTAGTTTCCGAGTTAAACATACACGACTTTGGAAATGAAAATCCAAGATTTTAAATTTCGACAGAAAATCTCGCACATGACATGTGTAAGTTAAATAAAAAAATGTTGTAAGAATACCCTTTATCTCGTTTTATCCTGCAAATATCTCACGCTATTTGACTTTAGTAAACAATATTAATAAGCAAAATAGAATAAATAAAACATTAACCTACTTAAATACCTAAACAGATAAATATAATTTTCAGAATAGTATATTCTGTAATAAGTTTGGCATACGGCATATTCTGCTTAAGTGAAAAGTTTGTCACACGAGCCGAAGGCGAGTTTGACGGTTTCACGAGAGCTGAATATACAATTCCAAATGTTGTTTCAGACTATACTTTTTTACCCTTCCAAAAAATACCATACCAGAAATTGAGTTTGTATCAGTCTAAAAGTTAGATTTTAAACACAGAGATGTCGTCACCAGTTATTATTTTGTTATCCGGTGATAGAATGTAACACTTTAATTCCACATTAAACAGTGATATTAGAACTGTCATATTTCGTAATAGAAGTAGAAAAACAAATTTAAATATCTACCATGAAAATTCTGCATTTTGTATAAGTTATCTGATCAGAAAGATAAAACCACTTTTCAAAATTATATATTTTCGCAATGATTATATTCAGTGCAAAACGCAATTTAATTCACAAAGTTACAACTTTGAAATAAAATTTTAGCACAATGGAATTTGTAATGAACTTTATTATACGTTAAAAACCCTGACAAATAAGTAAATTAACTTAATTTAATGTTGATTTACTTTAAAAATACATTGAAAATTAAAATTAAAAGTCGAAAAATTTCATGGAAATTTTTTCGTTCAATATTTACAATAACGCAATATAAACATGTCTCGGTCTCCATTAAAACGGTTTATGCAAATAATATTTGACGCCTCTGCTCCTAATGCGACAAATTTTCGGTCGTTCATAATTAACCATCCTGCTATTATGAAACTGTTCGCGAGATAATCATGGGAATAGTTTTATTTGTATACCTCGCGGAGAGCGAACACTTTTGATAATTTAAACAACACCCAAAAATTAAGTGTTCAACATTCTCTAAACCGTTAGCAAGTAAAATTTTGCAGTGATAACAATCTTCGTTGTTGCTTCGAATAACCCGTTGCTTTATGAGGCGAGGGAAAATTTTGAAAAGTAATGGCATCGTCAATTTATCAAAGTTTAAATAATTCACACGGAAACAAATTATTCCAATTCAACTATGATAATTTTACGGTAATAAGGTAGATAAAACGTGCTTATTAAAATAATTAAACTTTTTATTTATTATTGTTTTTAATAAAAAATATTATTTATCAATTTTATGAAACTTAAATTAATTTTAAGAGGTGATAGACTTATAAAAAAAAAATTTCTTAAAAATGTTTCCTAACAGGGATACAGGCCATTGAAGTTAAAAAAAACTTCTAAACCAATTTATAAAGTTTTCTCGCACGAATACAATGTTCCTCCTTTGTCACTCATTTTGTTTTTTACGCGTGCGAGAAAACGTCTTATGAGATGAGTTCTTTATACTATTTTTTCTATTTGCCAACATTTTGAGAATAATTGTCGAATTATAATGTTCATTGCGATATAGGGATTTATACGGCAGTTGGTAGTACCTCAACTTAGTTCTTTTTTACTGAGATCTTAACTCACTTCAGTTTTTTGTATTGTTGATTTGAATCATAGAACAATTTTGAATTTGCGTTAAATTATGAATAGAAGTTTTATTTCATGAAGACGGGTCCATTAAATTAATATCATTTTAAAAACGTTAACAAACCAAGTAATTTCTTAATCCACTTTGACTCAATTCAAACTGCACAGCACAGTATCAAATACTAAACCAAACTAAGTTTTTTTCGTTTTTACTTGCAATGCGAAACAAATAACGTGCATGGTTAAGCTGTGCAATTGCAACTTTACGAACAAAATTTGTGGAGTAAGACAGCCTTTCTCTTTTCTTTGAAAAACTACTTATTTATTTAAAAATGATGTCCAGTTGATGCTTTAAACGTATTGTTGACAAACCTTGCTCTTCAGTAATGCTATCGAGCACCACCAGTTGGCGCGCGCGTTGCAAAACCCGATGCTTTTTAGCGTATAATATTATATAAAAAAAAATTAAAATCCAACTTGGATTATCTAAGTAGTGTTGGACTTGTGCCCAACCTGTAAAAAATAAATATGTCGATCATGTTAACTTCAAATAGCTACTAGATGCCTTGTTTTTTTGAAAGTCTACCTTATTTTTGTAAATGTATCTTTAGTAGAAAAATAAACTAATTTATGAAATTTAACAATAAAAACTATGTTTTTTACTCATAATAATAATAATAATTTATAATGGTTACTTTATAAATATTTTATTTAAACGGTTTAATTCAAAAATATTCATCGTTGCCAGATGCCAGATTTGATGAATCTATGTATTATACCAAAGTTTTTTAAAATTTACGCAATGTTACCCACGCACAAAAGTGAAATGTCTGTATTTTTTATCGTTTTTGTGTTTGAAATAAATAAAATTCATGAGCAAAAAAGCGCGCCCCAATCCATATAGTCTGCCGAAATTGGGTCATGTGCCGTCTACCCCCAACCCCTAAAGCCGGAGCGGGGGGCGGGGCGGACGGCGGGACCTGCGTAATCTTGTTTAAGCTATCAGTGTCTGAGGTCAAGATAAGGATACGAGTGAATACGTACAAGTAGCAGCGATAATCGACCACTCTTAAATATTATATGTTTATATTAGAGTTTTATAGTTTTTATATACATACATACCACAAAGTAGTATATATACTACTTCGTGATACATACTAACATCTATAATTTAGTTACATCATCTCTAATATAGCTTTCACTCCATTGTTATCAAATCGTTTTTATTAACAATCAACTGTATCAACAATGTATTGTTAGTAATAAATGTCAATATATTATTCAGTGTTGAATTTATTTATCTTAACACATAACGCTCTGTAAAAAATAAGCGACAGTTATCGTAAATAATAACAAGTTATGTTTTATTTGCTCAAAAAAAGATAAACCCGTATTTTGTGTTTAATAAAGTATTTAAAATTATTCCGCAATTAGCGACATTACACTCCAATGTACTAATAAACAAACAGTCTCTTTAAATTCAGCATATAATTAACTCAGTTTAACTGTAAACTATGCGACACATGGGATACATACTGGAATAAACGCACAGTAAGCCACCAATGACATTTTACCTTAGCCAATGAAATAGTGGACGCGTAATCAGATGGTTGGAAATGTTGAAAAGTATGAACAAGCTGTAAACAGTTTCATGCATAATTTAATTGTAAATGATTAAAATAAATATATTTTTCTACTCCCACCTTTAAAACGCCCTTTATCGTACATGTTTCCATGACACTAAGTGACCTTTTAAATAGACATTGACAATTTGTGGCTTTATGGCGCTTTAGTCACGGGCTGAAGTTAGCAACAAGTTTTTAGTTACGGGCTGAAGTTAGTTTTAAGATAGTTGACAGTTGTCAAATGTCATACAATCGTTAAAATAAAGTGCCTTTTTTGTAAAATAATACTAAATGTGAAAATTAATTCTATTATCTCAATACAAAAATACAAAAGTATTAAATAGTTTCTCAACGCCAATATTTGAAAAGTTTATATGAACATTGTACTGACCTTTTAATTTCGCCGGCAGTAAACTATAACTTAAATTCGGGCACGGACTCCACTGTAAATTGCTCATAAAACATTTACTTTTACTGTGAAAAACTGTCAATTTTCAAGAAATACATTTCGATTTATAACCTTTATAATCTGTGTTTATAAAATATAAAAAATTGACATTTGACGTTGACACACAGATTCCCCTATTGTTTCATAGATGGCTCTCCATACAAATTTTTGATTTAAATCATTTTAAGATAATAATATCTATTTGTCGTAGAAAAAGTATAGTATGCACCTCGTTTATAAACTTTTCTATACACTCATTAATTTAAGAACTTGGCGTTTATCAAACTTGATACATAATATACTATTATTCCCTTAAAATTACCTTATTTTTCATTTAATAATAGATATAGATTTTTACCATCACAGATTTGTAGGAAGGTAAATTTAAAAACATTTTAAATT